TTAACTGGGGATCCTCCTTCCTCAGCCTCCTGAGTCACTGGGATTACAGACATGATTCATCAYGCCCAATTTCAAGAATATTTTATTCATAATCACTTTCAAAGGTTTTGTTTGTTTGTTTGTTCTGTATGTGCAATCATTTTCAATTTTAAAATAGTGGGAAGGACTGGGAACAGGGGTGCACACTTGTAAATCTCAGTATTTTATGAGGCTGAAGCAGGAAGATTGCAAGTTCAAAAGCCAGCCTCAGTAACTTAGTGAGGCCCTGAGCAATTTGATGAAACCCCATCTAAAAATAAAATGGGCTGGGGATGTGGACCAGTGGTTACAGGATCCTGAGTTCAATCCCTGGTACAAAAAAAAAAAAAAAAAAAAAAAAAGTTGTTCCTTCTCAGCTAGGCACAGTGGCACTCACCGGTAATCCCAGCTATTTGGGAGACTGAGATAGGAGGAGGATCTAAGTTTGAGGCCAGCCTAGGCAACTTAGTGGGACCCTGCCTCAAAATAAAAAATAAAAAGGACTGGGAGTGTAGCTCAGTGATAGAGCATCTCTGGGTCCAATCCCCAGTACAACAAAAAGGAAAATAAGTTCCTTCTCTCTCCACCTTGAGTTTATTTAGAGAGTTATCAGCAATATCCCCCAGTTTTACCCGGGTTGTAGAATATTGTACTCATTGTTCGTTTGCATTGGGGCGGTGGGAATGGCCAGGGACCTGTGCCTGCCACAAGGCGCTCTCCCACTGGGCCACACCGCAGCCCAAGCACTGTTTTACATCTTTTTTCACTTGACATAAATATCAAAGCTCTTTTCAAATCACTCTGTACCAGTGTCCTTGGTAGTTTTTATTTTTCTTTCTTTGTGGTGCTAGAAGCCAGTGTCTTGCACATGCTAGGCAAACCCTCTACCACCCAGCTCTGGCCCCTGCCCGCACTCCTCGTTTTTTGATAGCAGCACACTACCCATTTTATGTCTGTACCCTGCTTTATTTTGCCAGTCCCTGTTGAGGGTTGCTTGCTTTGTTCCTCATCTTTTCCTCCTGGAAACCACGCGGTAATGAATAATCTCGCAGGTTGTTATTTCACACGTGTACATTTAAACCTGTACAGTAAGTTCCCCAAAGTGGAATCACTAGGTCAAAGAGGACGAGGATCTGTAAGTCGGGTGAATGTCACCAAACTGCCCTCCGTGGGCGCCCGCCGTCACTCCAGCAATGTGAGTTGGCTGATTTCCCCTCACCGTTGGCAACACATTGTTTTCTTAAACTTTTGGATTCTTTTCTTTTTTGTTATTTAAACTTTTGAACTCTTGCCAATCTGATAGGTGGAAAATGACATCTCACCTAGTTTTAATTTTCATCAGAGTATGAGATTACCTTTTCAAATATTGAATGGCCATTAATACTTCTTTCGGTCGATTTTTATTTTTATTTCTGTTCTTTTGCAGGGCTGAGAATGGAACGAATGGAACCCGGGGCCCGCTGCCTGCGGGTGAGGGCACTGCACTGAGCCCTCTCCCCAGCTCTGGTCTGTTCTTTTCCTTATGATGTCCAGAATCTCTTTAGGAGGTGATGAACTCTTTTTTTGTTTTGTTTTTCTTTTGTGATTTAATTCTTTGTGATATGAACTGCAAACATTTTCTCTTTCAGTTTGTCATTTGTCTTCTGACTTTGATTTTTTTTTTTTTTTTGACAAGTGAATTTATCGATGTTTTTTCTTTCCTTTCTTGCTTTCTTTTTGGTGGGGGGGAACTGAGATTTGAACCCAGGGGTACTGAACCACTGAGCTACATCCCCAGCCCTTTTATTTTATTATTATTWTGATTAAATTTTGAGACAAGGTCTCACAACATTGCTGAAGGCCTCACTGAGTTGCTGAGGCTGGCTTTGAATTTACGATTCTCCGGCCTCAACCTGCAGAGCCACTGGGATTACAGATTGGGCCACTGCGCCAGTCCCTTTCTTGCTTTTCTATTTTTATTTTTTCTCTTTTCTTTTGGTGCCAGGGATGTAACAGTCCTTGTGCATGYTGGACAAGGACTCTACTGCTGGGCAAGGACTCCACTGACTTGTGTTAATGACATTCTGAAAACAACCTAAATACCCCACCGTGGGAGACAGCCAGGAGATACAACATACTTCGAAATTGGATCTGGGACAATATACTGGGTGTATTTAACAGGAATTAAAACAACAAACAAACAAACAAACAAAACAAACTGACTGTGTATCCAGTGACATTTTTTTTTAAAGCATGTTTATGAGGAAAGAGACTGGTGAGAGACACAAATGAGTGAAAAACCTCCTGTACTGTTTTCTGGATACACCTGGAGTTAGATGGACCAAGGCACCARTAGTCCCAGCTACTTGGGAGGCTGAGGAAGGAGGATGGTTGGAGCCCAGGCCAGCCTGGGCAACATAAGCAAGACACCCTCCCCCATATCAAAATAAAATAAAATAACTGAAAAGTATATGTGATTCTTATATTTACATTTAAAGGAGAAGGGAATGATATTTATCAAAGATCCATGAAAAAAAAAAAATGCAGCCAGGCAGTAAATGACTCTTAATAAAAAACAAACCAGTAGTAATGAAGTTGCTTTGCAGAGAGACAAACCTGAAWCTGAAAAAAATATTTCGAATGCCCAATGTCCAAAATATGTCCATAACTGTGGCTATGGGTCAAATGTGGCTGTCGTGCAAGCACTTGGAAAGGTGATCAGTCCTCGGGGGCTGGGGATGTGGCTCAAGCAGTAGCGCACTCGCCTGGCATGTGTGCGGCCCGGGTTCGATCCTCAGCACCACATACCAACAAATGTTGTGTCCGCTGAAAAACTAAGAAATAAATATTAAAATTCTCTCTCTCTCTCTCACTCTTTAAAAAAAAAAAAGAAAGGTGGTCAGTCCAAATTTCTATATGCTATAAATGTAAAATACATATCACATTATTATCAGATCAGGAAAAAATGTTTTTTTTTTTAAAAGTAAACTATTTGGCTAATTAAAAAATATTGACCACATGTTTAAATGATCAAATTTAAGGTGTGATGGATTAAAATGAAATGATTACAATTAATTTCATGCTTTTTACCTTTTTAAATCAAAATGACTACGAGAAAATGTTTATATTCATGGCTCTATTGGTGGCTCAGATCATATTTTTACTGGATATTGATCTAGAATTCTGTACCAAGTTTTAGGAGACAGACAGGGTGTTACAGGTCAGGGGCCTTCCTGGAACTGAGACGGCATGACAACTCCCCGGTTAAGCCCCGATTCTTGTGATCAAGTCAGAAGGATTTCATCTATGTCACTCAGAGTGATAGGCATGAGTTTATCAGGACCAAAGGGAAAGGGGACACTCTCAAGTGAGAAAGTGGGTCCTCTTAGAAGAGGGACAGCTTTGCTCTCCTGTCATTCAGTTTTATTGGGGTCTCAAGGAAGATTGTAGAGAGTTCTTTTTTTTTTTTTTTTTTTTTTTTGGTACTAGGTATTAACCACTAAGGCACACCCCCAGCCCTTTTTATTTTGCTAAATATCAGGACCTCACTAAGTTGCTGAGTCTGGCTTTGAACTYGCTATCCTTCTGCCTCAGCCTCCCCAGCTGCTGGGATCTCAGGTGTGGGCCACCATGCCTGGCTCAGTTCCACCTTTTGACTTTTGACTGAATCCAGCAGGATGACATCAGACTTTTGAGTACTCCCTGTGCATGACAACTTCAGGTCCCTTAGGTCTATTCTGACTGGTTCTAACTGGAACCTATTTTACAGATTTTATGATTAGCGGGAATCATCCTTATCTCCCTGAATTCCAGGATCTGGTCTTTTTTTTTTTTTTTAATGTTTGTTTGTTTTGGGTACCTGGGATTGAACTCGGGGGGGCACTCGACCACTGAGCCGCAGCCCTAGTTCTATTTTGTACTTTATTTTGAGGAAGGATCTTGTCGGGAGCCACTCTGGTCAGGAGCTATGTACACACCTTTAAGTCCTGAGTAAAGGGGTACTGAGCAGTTATTGCAMCCCAAAATACATCGGACTTTTACTCCCGCAGGGATAATGAGRCGTGGCTCTGGGAGTGGAGGTCACCTGTTGGGGTTGAGCTACACTCACCTGTTCCTTTGAAATCCTACCACTTTGCCCTTTTGGGGACAGACTGTCCCATGGAAACTCCCCTTGTGTGTCCCCTGTGTAAGAATAAAGAATTCCAGTGGCACTCTCTTTCCACAAGGCTGGAGAGCCACCTGGGAGTTGGAAAAGGTGCCTCTGTGTGTTTGCGTGCTTTCTCTCACCCTTGACTTAAGTTATTGGAATAGTCAGATTTGTGAACCCAGCATAGATCACCAGCTAGGCTAGATGGCCACAGGGCCTCACTGTTGCTGAGGCTGGCTTTTAACTGGGGATCCTCCTTCCTCAGCCTCCTGAGCAGCTGGAATTACAGGTATGTGCTAGCACACCTGACTCAGGATCTGGTCTTTGTAAGGGACACACACACACACACACACACACACACACCCTCCCTCCCTTCAGGGCAACTTGTATTCTTCTTATATCAGGATTTTGGGCCTGCAATTCCTCTGCAGATAACAGGTAGTTTGCTGAGGAATGTAACATCCCATGGGCTTAAGCCAGGCAGGTAAACCAGTTTTTATAAGAGAAGGTTTTTATAAGTCATCGCACTTTGATAAGTCAGCGCACTGGGCCCTTTTTACATCATTATTCCCTTAACTTCATTTCCCACCTTTCAACATTTGTCTGTCCCCTATGAAGGGGACACCACAGGGATGCAGCTACCTGCATCCAGACTGAGAGATGCTATAGGACAAATCTGATTTGTTTGACATCCAAATCCCTTTTATTGGGGAGAAGGGCCTCTGGGAAGGGGCCTGGCTTGTTCATTGGCCCTGCCCTGGGGTGCTGAGGGGTCATCTATCTGGAAATCCTGATGGCTAGAGAAGGGCCCCAGGGGCAGGGCCCCCACAGCGTCATGTGCTAGCAGGCCAGCCCCACTGAGGCTGGGCCTGTGGCCATGCTCTCTGGCTGTTGAAACCACCCCCGCCAGAGCTCTGCCTCCTCTAGAAGCTAGTGGTCCTTATACCGCCCCTGCCATGGGAGGAGGCCCTCGACTGCGCCCTGTGTCAGCGGCTACACAGTCCCTGATGGTGGTTGGTCTTGTGCAACTGGATCATGAGGAACACAGCCACTGTGAAGGCTGCCTCTCGCTCAACACCCAAACCTGATTTCTTTAACAAATCCATTGGAAAAAAGGTGAGGAGAGAATTTTTAGGTCAGGAGATATTTAAAAGGCATTTCAGCTAAGTGCCATGGCTAGATACCTTGTGATTCTGAGTCCAASGATCTCCAGAACAATAAAACAAACAGTGTTATGCGCTTGGTGTCTCTTCTCTATTCCCCTCAAATTCACATATTGAAACCCCAGTGCCCAATTATCAGCTATACAAAGCCCTCCATATTGGTGGGTTCTGCACCCATGGATTCAACCAACTTTCTTTTTATTTGTTTATTTTTTTTAGTTGTTAATGGACCTTTATTTTTTATTTATTTTTATGTGACGATGAGGATCAAACCCAGGGCCTCACACATGCTAGGCAAGCGCTCTACCACTGAGCTACAGCCCCAGCCCAACTTTCTTTTTTTTTTTTAAATATTTATTTTTTATTTTGTTTATTTACTTTTATATGGTGCTGAGGATTGAACCCAGGGATTCCCAAGTGCTAGGCGAGCCACAACCCCAGCCCCTGCATTCAACCAACTTTCAAAGTCCTCAGGGAAAACCATGTGTCTGTAGGGAACATGTATAGACTTTTCCTCTTCTCTCTGAACAACACAGTGCAACAATTACTTCCAGCATTATAAATCATCTGGAGGTGATTTAAAGTCTACAGGAGGCTTGTGTAGGCTCTCTGCACACACTGTGTCATTTTATGTAAGGGACCTGGGCATCAGAGGATTATTATATAAAGCGAGGGGTGGGGGGCACAGGGGTCCTGGAGCCAGTCCCCCAGGAGAGGTGACTGTATGTAGAGACTGGGCCTCTAAGGAGGCTAAAGGAGACCATAAGGATGGAGTCCCTAATCTGATAGGATTAGTGACCTTATAAGAAGAGACACCAGGGCTGGGGAAGCAGCTGGGAGGTGGAGCCTTTGCCTAGTGTGCATGAGGCCCTGGGTCTGATCCCCAGCAAAACCAAAGCAGAACAAAGATCTTTCTCTTTCTCTGAGTCAGCACCCAGGGAGGGCACATGAAGAGGACAGAGAGGACATGGCCACCTGCGTGCTGAGACCAAGTGCTCATCAGAAGGGAGCACTGCTGCTCTTAGAATTCCCAGAACTACGAAAAAAAAATTCATTTCTGTTATCTGAGGCTCGCCGTCTGTGGTGTTTGATCATGACAGCCCTGGCGGGCAAACACAATAACAAAGTGAATTAGAGCATTGATGAGACGGTTGAAAATGAGAAA